CAGTGCCAGGTGAGGGTTAGCCTCAAGTAGCAGCTCTGTCATTAGCAGGGCCACACCACAATGCTGGACAGGGCAAGACATGCCCTGAGACGAACGGTCAGAACTTTGCCAGAACACGAAGGATTTGGAGCCCACCCTCTTGACTTCAGCCCTGTTCCTTTAGTCATTTTCCAAATGCTATCAGATGGTACCTTGACACCTCTTAATGCTGATGCTATCCTTGGCTTGGCTACCCCTAAGGCATGGCAGGAGATGGCCCAATATTTTAACACTGGCAAGATGGAACTAAGAGGAGATTCACTTGATTGGAAAGAGGTCAGAGTAAGCCTCTGTGTGAAGGATGAGATCAACACAAGCCGTTTATTTTTTTATTTTTTTATTTTTGTTCTAATCAACAAGGCCTGTTTTGGAGCCAGGAGACTGCCAACCGAAAGGGATGGGGGTGGGAAGACACAGTGACCTACTGCAGGCTGCTTCCTTGAAGGAAAAGCAGCAGCTTCTCTAGAGACCCATTTATACAAAGGAACTCTCCCCTCCCTTCCAAGGCTACCTCCTCTTCCCCTCCCCGCTCCTCTCAAATCTGGCTGCTGCAAAAACCCTTCTGTCCCTCTTTCCCTGACTCCACCTAAAGCGGAGTACCCTCGCTGTCCTGGAGATTGTTGGGATTCCATCCCAACACCTCCACTCTCTGGGAAGTAGGAAAGTATTGCTGGAACCAGGGTAGAAGTAAGTCTACCTCTGGCTTTGTTCCTATCAGGGAATTTCTGGTGGGCACAGACACGTATATACAATACCACACACAGATACACACAGCGGAAGCCAGGAATGACGTCTCCCTGCCTGGCTAGTTCTACATATGGGTGTGACTGGGTCATAGTACAGGGAGGGTCTGAATACTTAGATACTGGACTGCCAAACTCTGGTTGTAAACCAGAGATCATCTCAAGACAGACAGTTTGAGAAGGAAAAGTACTCCTGACACCCAGAATCTGGCTTGGTGCTATCAGGAAGACTTTGTTATGGCTAGCAACTGATCTGGCATGCATAGATCCAAATATTCTTTTGAACATAAAGTCATAGAACATTGGCATCACACAGGGTTCTGTGTGACCATGATGAATCTAGACAAAAAAAAATGACCGAATAATCTGGGCAATAGTAATGCACACCTTTAATCCCAGTACTGGGGAGGCAGAGGCAGGTGGATCTCTGTGAGTTCTAGACCAGCCTGGTCTACATAATGTGTTCCAGGACAGTCAGTTTGTTACACAGAGAAACCCTGTCTCGAAAACAAAGCAAAACAAAACAAAACAGAGTAAATACTCCTCCCACCTCCAAGCCTGGATGAACTGAGTGATTGTTACTTTGTTATCAATCTTAGCTTTAGCTCTCCTCTGCCCACCTATTGAATAATATTTGTTAAACTAGCCTACCCAGGCTGGGTGTGGTGTTGTATACCCTTAACCTCAGCACTTGGGAAGAAGAGGCAGGTAGGTCTGATTTTGAGGCTGACCTGATCTACTAGTGAGTTCCATGACAACCAGGGCTGCTAATGAGACTGTCTCAAATATAAAAATTAGTCAATAAAGCCAAACCTAATCATGGGATGACTCCTGATTCCTGACAGCAGCTAGTCCTGGGCAAAGCCCAGCTTCATTAACCAAAGTCCTTTCAATCCCTTGCCACACCCTCTAACGAGCCTTTCCAAGGCTTCCACGCTGTGCCACCTTCCTTGATGCAATGAGCGATAAACATAACCCATTCCACCACGAGGGTATTCTCTTGGGCTTTGGCTAGAAAACACTGACAATTTAGAGACAAAAAGCAAACTACCAGGCAGAGACCCAGGGGAATTCTGCCTAGTCTTACCCCTTCTTAATCACCTGACATAGTCCCAGAGGAGCCTTCAACTGTACATCTCAGTTGAGGAACGAAAGCTCGGGAGTCACGTCTCCAGGCAGGTTCGTTCCCATCTAGAATGTCTTGGCATTGGTAGCACTTCCCCATGGATACTTCGTGGAAGCAGTTAATATGGGTGTTGAATTTGGAAGTATTTGCAGAATTGTATTCACTTGTTCAACCTTTTCTGACAACCACTGCCTATCATGGTCCTATGCTAATTCCTGGAGATAAGGAGATGACTCATATATAGGCCCTGCCTTCAGTGGCTTTATAACCTGGTGGCAGACGTAGACAAGCCAAAAGGGACTAGGAGTGAAACCCAAGTGCTGGGAGTATGCTGTGTGAATGTCAAATGCAGCTTCATTGCCTGTCACATTGCTTTATTGTCCTGCTTCTGCTTCACTGACTAAACCATTTTTGTTTGCATGTGCTCTGTCATTCCCTATGAACAAAACATGGCGTAAACTATGTTTAATAGAAGACGGAGTCTAAAGTTCTTTTGTCCAGTGTGCTTATTTATACATCTCTCTTCCATTTCCTTCAGGCCTAGACCTGCCGCCTGACCTTTCTTCCCGCATCACACACAGGTTTACCTTCTCCCTGTGTGTGTGCATGTTTCTTTCTCTCATTGCAGCACGTACTTTCTGCCTCTGTATTTTCTGCTGAGGCAGTGGAGCATAGTGGAAAGAGGATGGAGTTGAGTGTCTGCTGTGCTACCCCCTCCTTGCATGGCCTTGGGTAACCACTCTCCTAGGCACCAGCCTTCGCATGAACAATATGAACGTAACAAATATCCTTCGTAAAAAAAAAAAAAATCTTCGTGTTTCATCTTTCCATGGTCTCCATCACTTGTCATTCCTGAGGCCCAGAGCAGATAATACGAAGAGAGCCTGACCTCCTCACCATGACTCTGCTCCCATTTGTCTGAACTAGACTTACAGGTTTGTTGTTTTGTTTCAGAGACAGGGTCTCATTAGAGCCTAGAATTTACTACTTAAGTAACTGGCCTTGAACTCATGGTGATCCCCTGTCTCAGCATCCTGTGTGCTAGCATTATTGACACAGGCATACATCCCCATACCTAGCTAGCTTTTTATCTTATTTTCAGATTATGGCTTTTGAGTCTTTTTTTTTTTAACCTAGCAAGTTACATCTGGACCTGGAAGCCTTAGAAATCACATCCTGCCTGATTTTCCCTCCATGGAGATCCTGACAGCTTCAAACCTGGTCTCTGTGAAATAGGACATCCTTTTAGCCTCTAAAATAATGGTTGGCTTCAGACCCAGAACCAAGAAAGCTGAGTGTAATTCTTCTCAGGCATGACAGTGCACACACATTCCTATCCAGTCATTTCAGAGCTCCAATCCCCAGAAAACACCTTGCACAGATGGTCAGTGGAAAGCTACCATAACCCAACCTAGTTCTCAATTTGATGTGAATATAGCATTTCAGAAAACCTCCCCATGCCATATAATCCTAAAGCCTTGCCCTTACACCACCCTCTTGCTGTTTGTCCATGGCCATTTCCACACTAACTATGGCCTTGGCAGCACCATGCCCTGAAGTACAGTGCGATGCGAGAGCCAGGAAGCTTGTAAACTTCTGTACTGAGCTGTTAAGCATACACATGTGCAAAAGGAGCCTGTGCGTGCAGGGGAGGGGTGTACAATCTAGTCCCATGATTTGCTAGTAAGAAATTATGTTTTAAGGATCATGCCCCTTGGGGCTGGAGAGGTGGCTCTGTGTTAAGAGCACTGGTTGCTCTTGTAGGCCTAGGTTCCATTCCCAGCACCCACATGGTTGTTCTCAACCATTATAGCTGTAAAATAAGTGAAATCTTTAAATAAAAAAAAAAGATTATGGCCCTCAAGAAGGAAAGGGCAGGTTTTGTGTTTCAGGTATCAGAGGTCCAGCTTGAAGCAGTCACCCCCTCCACACACTCGCACCCCACCTGTGCCTGAGGCCTTCAGCTACCTTGTTGAAAGAATATTCCAAGCAACAGACTGGAATTCTGGCTTCCACCCAGTAAGACAAGCCAATTTTCCTATCTGTCCACTACTCTCATATAATGGCACAAAAGGATGTGGTGAAAAGCACCTCAAAGTCACCTCCACCCCAACCTGAACCTGTCCAGTACCAGGTTCCAGAAGGAACAGCCACGGTGACACATCAGGCAATCATCTTGACTCGATGAATGGGCCCAGGACAGTTCAAAGCTCAAAGCACTCCAAACTGGTCCCCTTGGTGACACAAGCCTTTTTGGGTCACCCCTACCCCAGCAAGCTACGTTCAATAGTACAGGGGGTTCCAAAGATAAGGCTTTCAGGAGAATTTCCTAGGCGATCCTGAGACTCTGAAGAGGGGAGAGGGCTCTCCAGCAGGCCCTTCCCATAGGCAGTGGTTAACTGGAAAAGGGTACCTAATGGGATTGTTGCCCAAAGTTGCAAACATGCTGCTGTTCTCAGTTGGGCCACCCCGTGAGCCTCAACACAGTGCGGGCTTGGTGGGGCTGGAATGGAATGCGGGAGGTCTCCACGTGGACTCACTCGACACTTTTCTTCCAGCTGCCACATTGACTCTTTCCCCAGGAGCTCAGCCGCCCCTACTAGCCCCGGGGCTGAAAGGAAGGAGATGGAGGGGCGGGAGCAAGAAAGAAAGAATTGAGGCAAAGTTTCAAGGGGTGTGCCGGCAGGGCGGAGGATTCTGGTTCTCTTGAGTCAGCGGATCAGGGGCCCAGCGTGACTTCACTGCTTCCCAGGAAGAGGCGCCCCAGGGCAGGAGGCCGCTTAGAGTACAGCAGTAAAAGTGGAAAGGTTAAAGCACCAGCTGCCTGAGTCCGGCAGGGCTCCAGCTTGTGGCCATGCTGGCCAGGACACTTGGGGTGGGGAGAGGCTTAGGGAAGGCAATACGCCATCCAGGAACGCTGGAGAATTTAAGGGGCAGAGGAGCAGACCTCTGTTCTCCCCGAGACGCTAGATCCAGCAGCCCCAGTGGCCAGAGTCAACGGCTGCAGGAGGCACAGCGCCATACTCGTTCTGACCTGTAGGTGGCGCTGCAGAGGTGCCCTGCGCGTGGACAGTGGGTGGGAGTGTTCAGTTCCTCACCGGGTGTTCTCGGGATGGGGAGGAAAAGCGTGACGGGTGACTCGAGCCCCCGCCGCTTGTCGTGACGTTCGTTTCGACTCAAAAGAAGGTCTCCTTCTCAAGTAGAAGGGGAGTTGCTCCTACTGTTGAGGAAAAGTGAAGTTTTTCCGTATTCCCTCGGGCCACCTCAAAGGCCCCAGCAGAGCTCGAGGCCCGAGGCCCGTTGCTTACTTCAGCCGAGGTATCGCAGTTTCTGAGGCAATCTGGGGATGGTGTTTTTGACCTGTAGGCCGTAGAATGGAAACTCTGAGTCGCGTCTCTGACGCTGGGGATGGGTTTCCCTGAAAAGCTACTCTTTAGCCTGGCTCCCGTGAGACCACAGAGCTTCAGCACTCCAGCTCCAGATTGTGGTTAGGACGTGGGCGCAGCCTGGGAGTACGGCTCAATCTAGATGAGGATTCAGCCTGAGACTGTGAAGCTAGGGCCAACATTAGGGTTCCATGTTCAGCAATTCAGTCTTCTACAGTTATAGAGGAAGAAACGGCTGAGGCTCATCCTGGGACACAAACTCGGCAGTTTTGCTGCTGCCTGAGGATAGTTTAATTTCTCAAAGATTTATTATTAGTCGTAATTATGTTTACGTATGTGTGTCTGCTTGTGGACTTGTGTGTGTGTGTAGTTGCCGGTAGAGTTCAGAGGGGGGCGTTGGATCCGCTCGAGCTAGAGTTACAGTTGGCTGTGAGGGCCTACCCCTCATCCGGGTTCTGACATTTGAATTCTAGTCGTTCAGAAGAGCAGTAGGGGCAGTTAACTGCCAAGCGGTTTCTCCAGCCTCATAACTACAGCTCGGTCCTAACTTCATGGGCCCTGAATTAGGAGCCATAATGCTGGTTAGACCTCCCATTGTAGTTTATGGCTATGTGGTGACCGTTGGGGTGACCAATGGAGACTATCAAGGCCTCAAAACTGTGGCCAGCTACCTTTGAGCCTGGGGACAACAGCCTCATCCTTTCCAAGGGCTAGAGGGCCAGTTTCCATGACAAAACTTTACAGATAAAATATATGGGCAGAGAAACTCCTTCTTTGCTGATCCAAAAATAAACAAACTCAGATCCTGCCACAGCATTCTGGGTGCCCCTTTTCCCTTGCCAGTCCTTCCAGCTTTGTGCTTTCGGATGTCCAGTCATCTGAGAAAGTTATCTAAAGATTTTCCATAAAGAAGAGGAAAGAGGAAAAAACTGAAAAAGATCCTAAACGTTCCCAGGTTTCACTGTGTGCCAGGAGAAATACAGTCTGTCTCTTGCCCAGACCTCAGAAGCCCGGCCTCTTTCCTAGGGTTGGTGCCCAGCTAAGCTATTCCTGGAAGTCCCTCCCTTCTACTAGCCCCCTCCCCAAGGTGTCTCTCCCAGACCATGACCGAAAAGCATCAGATGAGCCAAACTTTGATGCTCCCTGCTTCTCTTTTCTACCTCTAGGATTCTGCCCCAACCTGACTCCTAGTTCTTAGCCTAGCCCCGGCCCCCATATCACCATGTTGTCTGTCTCTCTCCAACCTGGCCCTATGCCCTACTAGGTGACTGGGAGATGATCTGATATACTAATTTGTGTTAATGTGATAATGGGTGCTTAACGGGGGTGGGGTGGGGGGTGTCACGTGCTAACCATGAATCAAACTCTAGCTCAGCTTCTCTGCCTCAATTTCAAGTCCAGACTGCAGGGATGGGAATCTGGGAATCTGGGGCTGACTAATCTCCACTACCAGATGGGGGAGTAGGGGAGTGGAGAAACCCAAGGCCAGGGAAGATCCCTGGGTGCTAGTGCATTAGAGCTTCCTCGGTTTCAGTTTCATCCTTGGCTGATACTTTCCTCTGTCCAGTGGAATTGCTTTGGTTTGCCTCCAGCCTCCCTCCCCTCCCCTGCTACCCCCCTCCCCCATTTGGACTGCTTCCTTCCCTCAGCCCTTCACTCTGTAGAGAGAGAGAGAGATGGGGAGATAATTTGCCAGCAACGAGGGAAAAATGTACACGTAGTCACCCTCAGATGCACAGCTCACGCACCACATTGCCTTGCAGACACATGCACACACACACACACACACACACACACACAGAGAGAGAGAGAGAGAGAGAGAGAGAGAGAGCCATGAGACCCACACAGAGGCACACTTAAGCAAGCAAGGCTCTAGCTGAGACCCATGCCACACACAGAGCCACAGGCATACTCATTCTTTCACACACAAACCAGCAGCAGCCGAGTTGGATGGCTTCCTCAAAAGAGGGCTGGAAAGTTTGTTTTCTGCCAGCGAAGGGGCCTAGACATTCCATGAAATGACTCATAGTGCACCTTTATAGACATTAAATATTGCATTAAACAACAACAACACTCAAAACCTGATGTGGTGTCAGGGTGGGGAAACTGAGGACGGGCTAGGGCTTTTGCCTCTGTCTAGCAAATGTCTCAGGCTTGTCCTTGATTTCCCATGGCATGGGGGTAATCCAAAGAGAACAGAATCATTCACCTCCTGGCACTACCCCAACCTAGACCCACCCTTCTGCTGGATGTGCTGTGGATGCTAATGCGCCCCTAGCCTCTTTCTCATCCTCATCCCCTGTCCTGAATCTCTGGGAACTGGGTCCATCCCTCACATTGCATCCAATTGGTGCTCTCCATAATCGCCGTTCCTATCCAGGTTCTCTCCCCAGCTTCGCTAGGTCTGTCTTTACTGTTGCACAAGTTGGGGTAGGGGAACACATTCACCTTATAAAATATGGACAGTCTCATGTATGACTGGAGCCCTTTCCTTGATACTTTTCCCCATCATGGGAGGGAACACCGTCTTCTTGGCTACTGTGTCTCTAAGCCCCAGAGCACCCCTCTGACAAAAGTAACAAAACAAAAACAACCTTTCCATGTTTTGATATCCTGGTCTACTCACACTGTGTTATGGCAGGTTAGTCAGGCTCACGTATCTCCAATTTCATTCTAAGAACACATCAGAAGTCAAAGGGATGCATGAGAGCGTGCACACATATCCACGTGTATACCATGCACACACATAAAAGAATTATAATTTTTATTTAAAAGATGACACAGGGGGCTGGAGAGATGGCTCAGAGGTTAAGAGCACTGACTGCTCTTCCATAGGTCCTGAGTTCAATCCCCAGAAACCACATGGTGGCGCACAATCATCCGTTATGAAATCTGGTGCCCTCTTCTGGTGGAAGCAGAATGTTGTATACATAATAAATAAGTAAAATATTAAAAAAAAAAAAAAAGATGACACAGGCCGGGCGTTGGTGGCGCACACCTTTAATCCCACCACTTGGGAGGCAAAGGATCTCTGCAAGTTAGAGAACAGCCTGGTCTACAAGAGCTAGTTCCAGGACAGCCTCCCAAGCCACAGAGAAACCCTGTCTTGGAAAAAAAAAAAAAGATGACACAGACTAGTGTTAGGCCAGAAGCTGTTGAGAAGTGAAGGGTGAACTCTGGTTGCACTGAGCAGTGGCCCTGAACCCTTAGATGTTGTACTTCCTCTGGTAGATTCCCAGAGCAAAAACCGGGGACCCGAAGTATTTGAGACTCGAGGGAGTTTGCCCTAATTTTCTGAGCTCTGCCTGAAGCCACTTCTTTTTCTTTCAGGTGAATCATAGGCTTGTCTCTTCTTCCCTTCCTACTCCCCCAACCCCCCTGCCAGCATCCCTGTGGTGCCAGGGTGGTTCTCAAACACGGATCCTGGATGTGGCCACTCCCTCTAGGATTGACATGCTGGGTCCCAGCTCAAGGCCTATAGCATCAGCTATCAGGCTGCCAAACTCCTTCAGCAGCCTCTGGAGCTGCTGTCTAGCCTCCCAAGAATTGAGACACAGTGTTCCCCTAAAGTTCTGTAGGGGCTTTCAGTGCCCCAGGGACTGTCAGGAAGACAAGCATGCCATCCTTTTAAAAAGTTTTTAGTCTTTTAAAATAGGTGTGTGTGTGTGTCCGTCCATGACACACATGTGAAAATTAGAGAACAACTTTTGGGAGTCAGTTTTTGCCTTCTGCCTGTTTTGAGGAAGGGTCTGTCTAGTTGTTCTGCCACTGAAAATCCCCGAGTCACTGAGTTACCTGTTTCCTCCTGCTATCTTGGCATGAATTACAGATGCGCACCATCCCTTTCTTTTTGTGTGGGTTCTAGGGATTGAACCCAGTTGGTCAGGCTTGTATGGTAAGAGTTTTTTTTTTTTTTTTTTTTAAGACGGGTACCAATCACTCTTCAGCCAAGGCTGTCCCTGAATCTCTAGCAACTTTCCTACCACGGCCTCTTGAATGCTAGGATTACAGCAGTAAAGCTACTTGCAACTTGCTAGGAAGCTCCATTTTAAGAATGGAAGACTGATCTTTTTTGTATCATCTATTTCAAGGATCTTGATTTTGGCGCTAATCAGCAAGCTTTTAAAAATGTCATTACAGGAAAACCTAACAAAAGTGTGTGTGTGTGTGTGTGTGTGTGTGTGTGTGTGTGTGTGTGTGTGTGTGTAGATCTGTATCAGTGTGAACATGCTTTATGGTTTGTGAATGGAATCAGGACATCTTTGGGATTCAGTTCTGTCTCCCCTTCCACCATGTGTGTCCCGGGGATCAAGCTCAGGTCTTCAGGCTTAACAGCAGGTGCCTTTACCCACTGAGCCATCTTGCCAAGTCCTCAACAAGCTTTGTAGAAGGAACACTGCCTATGCTGATTAGCCATAATCTGAAGCAGCAAGATTTTTACCTGTCATTTGGATACGTAGCCTTTCTGGAAGCCCTATGACTACACATGTTTGGTTACTAAATGCAATTGAAAAATGATGGCTTGCTTTACAAAAGGCTAATGGGGCTTCTGGGCCTTAGGCTTTAGAGTGGGACAAGGGGGGTCCTCTGAAACTAACTTCTCTCCCTGATTCTGAATATGCTTTTCCTTCCAGAAATCTGATTGATTGATTCACAACTTTTCTAGCATGTTTGTGTGGTAGAAAGCAAAGGCCACAGGAACTGACATTGCGGTATTTTGTTCTGCTTGATTTAAGTGAGGGAGGGAGAAGGGCAAAATGGGAGTACAAGGCTAGAAGGGGTCCTGTACATACTGGAGGCAGTGGTGGCCGGATGGGGGTGGGGGGTGGAGTTGGTGGGGGGAGAGATCCTTCAGCTCCTGGAAGGAATCAGGTTCTGAGGCCTGAGAGCCAGTCAGGGCAAGCCAGTCAGGGAACAAGGAGGAAAGAGAGACTGAGAGAACGCTGCTGGATGCCTCTTCCTGGGCATCTACAGGCAATAAGAGAAGGGGAATTCCTGCCAAGTCAGGGAATGAGCCATTGCCAGAGACAGTGGCTGTCCCCTGGGGACTGGTGAAATCAGTCTGACTGGCCCCACCTGGTGGGGGCTTACCCAATGGGTACGTGGAACATGGGGAGGCAAGCCGGTAAGGGCTGGCAGGCTGAGGAGCAAAAGGGTCATAGGGAAAGGCAGCCAGAAAGGTCATTCAGGTGGCCCACAGCTTCCCAAGGTGAGATCAGCCCAAGATTTTCATCAAGTTGGGGGTGGGGTAGGGTTTGCTTTGACTTCAACTAGAAGGGTGTGGAGCTGTGGTTAGTTCTGAGTGGCTGGGGAAGGTGGTAACTTACGGGATTCCCACAAGCTGTGGGCTGCAGGTCACCAGCAGGCAATACAGCCAGATATGTTGAGTGGTCCACAGTGTTGACCTCTTTCCCTGCCCTTCCCAAGAGGAAGAGCTTGCTTCATACTCTGCCTTGAGGCTTCAGCCTTGGTTGAAACTACATATCTTTTCAGAAGGAATCCACCGTAAGTGCTCAGCAGCCTTGGTCCTGCTACACTTTCTTCCAAGAACTGGTCTGAGAAAGCAAACGGAGGTTGACGATTTCTGGAGGCACTGCCATAGACTACATCTTACTCAGTCCTCACCACAGCTTTGTTGAGGTAGGTCTTATCATTCTCTGTTACATTTTTAAAGATTTGTTGTAGTCTTATGTGTATGAATGTTTTGCCTGGGTGTATTCTGTGTACCAAATGGGTGACTGGTGCCCTCAGAGGTCAGAAGAGGGCATAAGATCCCTTGGAACTGGAGTTACAGATGGTTGTGAGCCACCACGTGGGTGTCAGGAATTGAACCCGCATACTCTGGAAAAGCAACAAGCGCTCTTAACCTCCAACAGTCTCTCTAGTCCTGCCACCTTAAAGGTAGAGTCTTACTATGTAGCTCTGGCTGGCCTGGAACTTGCTGTATAGATCAGGCTGTCCTTGAACTCAGAGATCCTTCTGTTTCTGCCTCCCAAATGTTAGAATTGAAGGCCTGCACCATATCCAACTCATCCTCATTTCTTTATTTTTATTATTTTATGCTGAAGTGTTTTGTCTGCATGTACATCTGTGTACCGAATGTGAGCCTAGTGTCCTCAGAGGTCATAAGAGGGAATCAGATCCACTGGGACTCTTGTGAGCCACCATTGTGGGTGTTAGGAAACAAACCTGGGTCCTCTACTAGAGTAGTGCTTTTTTTGGGGGGGGGCGTGTTTCAAGACAGAGTTTCTTTGTAGCTTTGGAGCCTGTCCTGGAACTCACTCTGTAGACCAGGCTGGCCTCGAACTCACAGAGATCCTCCTACCTCTGCCTTCTGAGTGCTGGGACTAAAGGCATATACCAGTTTATTTTATAAAGGTATTTTATGTGCATTGGTGTGGAGGTGTTATCCCCTTGAACTGGAGTTACAGACAGTTGTGAGTTGCCAGGTAGGTACTGGGAATTGAACCCTAGTCCTCTAGAAGAGCAACCAGTGCTTTTAACCACTGAGCCATCTCTCCAGCCTCCAACCCCTGGCAAGTGCTCTTAACCACTGAGCCATCTCTCCAGCCCCCAACCCCTGGCAAGTGCTCTTAACAACTGAGCCATCCATCCAGCCAGTTTGGTTTGTGGTTTGGTTTTGTTTTTGAGACAGAGTCTCACTATGTAGACCTGGCTGGCCTGGAATTTACTATGTAAACCAGGCAGGTCTTACAGATATCCACCTGCCTCTGCATCCCTGGATCTGGGTTTAAAGGCCTGCAGCATTGCGAGGGGCTTGCTGTTTTAATTTTTGTACCCATTTAGGCCTTAGTGCATTTTGAAGCTGTCCAGGACCTACTCCAAACTAGAAAGGAGAGCCTCACCGGCAATAGTCCAGCAGAAAGAAAGCTGTGTTTTTCCAGGATCTAGAATCCCCTAAAGACAATGTGCTCACTTGTAAAAGAAAAAGAAGTGAAAATTTGCTCTTAGTCCTTGTTCTGAAGACTTGATCTGTCTGTGGGTAACCAGGAGGTTTCAGGAGCTAGTAAGTACCTCAGTGCAGCCACTAGATTATTATTTTTTTTTTTTACTGTTAGCCTATGATCCACAACCATCTTTGATGATGTCACCCACCACCACTCCTGTCCCCTAGTCCTAGGGATCATCTTTCCCAAAGCTGAGGAAGCAGGTTTTTGGAGATGGTTGAGTAGGTCCTGAACTGAAGACCCTTTGGCCACCTCTCAGAGGGCCCTCCTCCCCGGAGCGTCTTCAGCAGCTTTTCTGCTATGGTCAAGTCTTGCTGCTCCCCCACCGTTGCCGGCCCCCCCCTCAGCGCGCGCACGCGCGCGCCTCTCCCTCACCCCACCCTCGCTTCAGTCCGCACAGAGCTTTGAGAAGTGACAATCTCTACTAGACACCTTCCCGGGACCTTCTGGTTGTAGTACCAGATGAGGACTGAGGTGGATACAGAGGCAGAAAAGGGGCAAAGGGGGAAGAAAACAGAAAACGGGTTGAAGTACACTTATTACTTGGCTTTATATTGAAGACATATGGGGCGTGGGCTCTCTCCCAGAACCCCAATTCTGGCTGTCCGTACACCTGCTGTATTGGCCCCCTGAAGTGCCCGATGTCCGACTTCCCTAGAAGTCCGTGCTACTCTCCAGTCACACCAATCCAGGAAATGTCTGGCCCGAGTTCCGCGGGGTGGGGGTGGGGGTTGACATTGTTTGCAAAATGTACCCTCTGCCCATTTCTGGGTAGCACCCACCGCTAGGCCGCCTGATTGGCACGCGGCAGATGCTTGATAATGTGGAGTGTTGTGGGGGGCGGCGGAGGTATCAAGTGATTGCCGTGCACAGGCCGAGTGGCTGGATACCGCCTTCCAGAAGCCCCAGGATATCTCCACGGGATATTGTGTGGGACTTCCCGCCGAGAGGCGCCCAGTCAGAGCTGAGGGCCCCGGGGCCCGCCAATTATGAGCAGAGTGGGGGGTGCGGGCTAGAGAAGCGGCTGGTGAGACGTGAGCTCGGGAGGGGCTCTGTCTGTATTCTCTGAGGTAGGGTGGGCAGCGAGCTTCTAGGGGAAGGAGAGCCCGTGCGGGCCCCTGGCAAGGCTCCCCCTGCCGTGCTGGCGACCGTGGCGGGGTTAGGGTGGAGGGGCGCTGTTTCCACCGCGGTGCCTAGTCCCTCCCAACCCCCCTTCTCCACCCCTCCCGCTCGCC